GCAAGGAGCTCTGCGGTGAGAGCTCCCTTGGCAGAGAGAGAGCCAAGGGACAGGGCCACGGGCAGGGCCACGGGTGAGGGACAGGCAGGGCCATTGCAGGGCCACGGTGAGGGCACAGCCTGTGGCAGCAGAGCTGCCCAGGGCCGGGGGCAGCCGGGGCTGTTGGTACCAGGCAGTGCTGGGGCCGAGCAGAGCACGAGGCCTCTTGCAGAGCCCTGGAGCAGCCTCCCACTTGCGAGCCCCGCCCTGGTGGGGTGACACTGTTCCCTCCCTGCAGGACACTCCCCCAGAAATCATCAGGGGATGATGTGTCTATTCCTGGTTCCTATTTGTGTCTATTCCTGGTTGCTGATTCATGCCGGGGACCTGAGGGACCTTCTGCAATCCCATGCATGGGGCACAATCTCCTCTCCAGAGCTTGACTTCCTGCAGACTTTGCAGGGAAATCTGTGCTGGCAGCCCAGTATGTCCCGATCCCCCACGCTCCCCCCAGGATATTTGGGATGAGTTCCCCCTTCCCAGGCACCCGTGGGATAGGGGGGCGATTGTTCTCTTGCTGTTGCTGTTGCTGCTCCGCCCTGTCCCTGCCCTTCCTGCTGCTGTCCGGTGAGCGGAGCGGCCATGATGGGAAAGGGGCGTGAGAAGCGAAAAGAGCGGGTGGGATCCCCAAAGGGAGCGTGAGGGATGGTGGGTCACCCCCAAAGGGAGCTGGGGGGAGCCGGGGTATTGGGGGCCGATGGGAAACGGGTGGGAGAGGGGGGCTAAGGGGTGGGAGGAGAGCAGGAGCAGGGTTGCTGTGGGGGTCTCTCTGTGTCCCCATGCCTTGTTCCCTAGAGAGCGGGCGAGGCTGGAGAGAGAGGGGAGCTGTGAGAGCCCCGAGAGCCTGGAGAAGGGGGAGCTCAGGCCCCCTGTGCTGAGCCAGCAGTCAGGGCCGTGCTGTTGGTGCCAAATTGCCCCTGGTCAGGCTGAACCCAGAGTCTGCCCACATGTCAGGGGGCCCAAACTGCTCCCTGCTCTCGTTGCCCTGGGGCAGCCTCTGGTGTCTCCCTGCCTGTGGGGCTGTTTAGTTGCCTTGGGCACAGCTGGCCCTTGTGCAGGGCTGTGCCCTTGAGGGCTCTTTGGGGTGGGCAGGAGGTGTTTTTTGGGGGTGCTGGGTTGGGGGCAGAGCCCCGGCGGTGGGTGGGGGATGCGGGTTCCCCCACGATGGGGGTTGGTGTTGCTGGGTCAGACACCGACGGCTCCATTGTCAGCCCTGTGCCGGCGGGGGACACACAGCGGGTTTGGGGCCCCCCGGGAGTGCTGGGGGTGGGTGTGGAGCCCGGGAGCTGCCGAGTGTGGAGGGCGGAGCGGGGCGATGCCGGAGCTGGGGGACCCCCGGCAGCCTGGAGGGGGGAGCACGGAGAGGGAGGAGCCCTGGGACCCCCGGGAGCCTGAAACAGGGGGTGTGGAGAAGGGGAAACCTGGACAGTGGGGACCCCTGGGATCCCTGGGGCAACAAGGTGGAGAACTTGGAGAGGGGGAATGTCTGGGAACGTGGCACCCCAGAGGCGAGAGTCAGAGGAGAAGGGACCCTTGGGACCCCAACACTTCCAGTATCCATAAGTGGGATCCCCAGCATCACAGACAGGGGAGACTCTCTGAACCCCGGAGGGGAGAGATGAATGACGGGGAACTTCTGGGAGAGATTTTTTGGGGCTAATCTTCATATTCTGGAGTATTTTTAGCTGAATTTCAACTTTTTGCAGTTTGGGGGCCTAAGGGTCTTGCTATTTCTGTGGGTTTTTTGCCTGAATCTTGGTGGCTTGGGTTTTTCTGGACTGAATCTTGGTGTTTTGGAGGTTTTTATGGACACAGGATGCCCAGTGAGTTCTAGAGATGGACTTGGGCAGGAGGAACCCCCAAGCCAACACACTCAGCCCTTGTTTTCTCTTCCTCCATCAGGATTTGTCCTTCTCAAAGCTTGGGCGGATGGAGGAGGAGGCTGTGAGGAAGAGGAAGATGCCTTGGGCCCCCCAGGCAGGTGAGGAGGAAGTCAGTGCCCCTTTCCCCTGGTCTTGTGCTGGCTCTGTCAGCCGAGCATGGCCCCGGCTGCAGGACAACCCCGCTGGCGCCGCCGTCCTGCCGGGGCC